TCCTAAAATCAATTAAGTTGAAATTAAGAGCATTCCTGAATGAGGAAGCATACGGCGGCAGGTACGAGCAGGTGAACTCAAGTGAGGATGGGAGTACTGTCACCCCCAAGACTTTATGAAAAACAAATTGAACCCAAGATCGAATAAGCTTTTTTCAGTAGTTCTCAGTAAAAACAGTGTCCTGGTCGATCAGGAAGTGTTACCGTATGCTACTGCTTACAACCAAAATAAGGCAAAGGTGTCACCAGTAATAGAAAAAATAATGCTTTGGAATGTCACAGAAAATACAAGAATTTAACCAGACAACTACTGATAAATACTTGTAGTTCAGGGTGTATTTCACTTAAACATACTTGTAACAGCCTTGTTACTGTTTAGTAATTGCAGCAATTACGTTCAGATAATCTACTATGCCTTGACAATTTGTACACTTGGAATTTTTCGACTAATACTACATTGGCGTCAGGATTGGTATGTTAAAGTTAGGGCGACAAGATGTTCACACGATATTGCCGATCATATAAATGTGATGTAAGCGATTTTTGTAAGCTTGCAGGCTTTTGTTTACAAAAGTGTACAAATTTTTAAATTTTTTTTTCTTGCGGTTTAATGTGATAAAAGTAATGTTTTAGCGATGAGCACGGTGTGGAGGCATTTCGAGACGGCATATTACCAGTGCTTCCAACGGTAATAACCTCAATTTTAATCAATTTCACTTTTCTTTTGCTTTTTTTTTATTTGGATTTGATTTTTCTTTTTTTCAATTTATACCATTGAATGTTCTCTTTCAAAAGATCCTCGAGTTTCCACTTGATATGTCCTTGAATTCTCAGTCTTGTGGAAATATTCGAAACGTTTTAACCTTCTACCACTGAGCAAACCCTAGTATACACGTTTTCTCACACAGCACGACATGTGATGCGTGCGTTTGCGACGCGGCTAGTCATTTGCCGCAATTCATGGGAACTATTATGTAGGTATGAGAAATGAGGGGAGACGGGCGTTAGGAACGATTTCGGGTAATCGATTCGCCGCACGCGGCTGTCGCGGACCATTCATTCGTCGTTATTACAGCTCTAGCGTTCTTCATACAGCTCAATCGATATACGATCATTATTTTATACATAATTCTACTATTAGTACTTTTGTTTTTGTGTTTCTTACCTACTGCTGCATCCTGCT